CCCCGCACAACATGATCTACTCGACCACCATAATGGTTACCGCCAAAAAAAAAAACTGAGGTAAAAAAAAGAAAACGGCAACCTGGTTGCCGAGTTCACGAAGTGAATTGGCTTGTTTTACAACGTCTTTGCCAAGCGACGAAAAGCCGACCCCAATGGCAAACACCGGGGGGGGGGCTTGTTTTACAACGTCGTTGCCAAGCGACGAAAACCCAATCCCGATGGCAAACACCGGAATCAGGGGGGGGTATGTAATAAGTATACATACCCCCCAAAAATAAGTCATAAGCAATATCGATGTGATATACTCAGTATTACTTCACATGCATAATATGTCGATATGATTATATCAATGATCAAACATATGATGATATTTATTACCATGTATATTTGATGATAAACGTGATCATAACCAAGTGATACGGCCATGAATATACCGCGATATGGCCGTCAACCAGGTGCGCAAACAGTGTTTTACTACACCGTTTCAGCGCTGAAAGCTCAGCTGCGTCAGCTTCTGCGGCACGTACACTATTATTTGTGTGCAATGGAAAGAACCCCTGAGTGCGGAATATTGAATCATACTTCAACTATCGTTCAGTAAGGTGGTACGTCAGGCCGAGAACCTTGTGCACACGCTTCTGAATTCACCTACCTTTACTGATGTGCCTTGCACGAGCGAGAAGGCGTTAGTACTGCGAAGTACATCCTCAAGACCAATAACAACACGAGAGGATGCAGCGAAAAACAAGAAAGACCAGGAGAGCACCACCCTTGCACCCTTCTTCCTTCCTCTCGTTCATGATGTAGCATACAACTCCTGAACCGAAACTCCACGGAGACTAACATGACGGGGGGGTCTGCCTCAGACGGCGTACGCTCCTCCTGTGGTCCATCAGTGGGCTACCAGGAGGAGTCGCTCCCGTGGGAGCTCCGCTGGGAGCTGTCGCTGTCGCCCATGAGCTGTTGATTGTTGATTGCGGTTATACGGTGTGTGGACTTCCGAACTCAAAATCTGTGTTCTCAGGTTCTGACATACTCCGCGCATGAGTTCGGATATCGGATATCGGTATGTACACCGATATATTCCCTCTCATGTGACAATAAACATGATCATGTGGTAGGTGACGTTGACCTGATATAATGGATATGATGATCATGTTAACGATCTTTCAGAAAGTGATGTAATACATGTAATATATCACTTAATCGGCCACAAAAACATGTGATATATTACTACTACCCCATTAGTGGCCAACCGTTGCGAAACATGCACACCCGCAGTAGCCCGCCAATCAGCAGCGGTGACACCGCCCGTCGTGTTTTTGGTACTACGGTAACGTTCGCTATAGCGGCAAGCCGAAAACAACAACTCGCTTAGCCCTCCTCTCCTGAGATCCAAGCAAGTCACCCCCCCGCCTTCCCACGTGCAGCCTCAGCCTATGGCACGACCTCCAGCAGCGGCAAGGCGGTCGCAGTACGCGAGCATCCGCTAGGCGAGGGGAGGAAAGTAACAGAATACGGCCGAACGAGACTACTGGGCCACCGCATCTCGGAGAAACAGCGGCGGCGGCGGCGGTAGACACGGCGATCGCTGGCGGCGGCGGCGGCGGAAGCACGTACGCGCTCGTCGTGAAGGAGAGCAAGGTGCTGGCCGAAGGCAGGCGGTTCGAGCTGCGGTGCGGGGACAACCTTGTAATCGGGCGGAGCCAACACCTTGCCGACATCGTGGTCAAGGACGAGATGGTGAGAGATTCTGACACGCTGGCGCTGCGCTGATGATTTTTGCGGCGGAGACGGCGTGGGCGGCGAATGTTTGTACTACCGCCTGTTGTTTTTTATTAGTGCTCTGCCAATAGTAGCTGGTGTTGCTTTTGGCCTAGACCTCTTTCTGCTGGCAACCTCCTGCTTGCCCTCATCGCGTGCTAGGAATTGAAACAGCTGAAAACCTCCGATATGTTTTCGAGCCTAACCGATGGGGATAGTGCTATTGCACACCAGTCATCTACATTGTTTCTGCTGCCGATGTTGTCGGTAAGCTTCCCTCTTGGGNCCCCCCCCCCCCGTTAGGACGATTGGCCATCATCGGTGATGGGTCCTGTGGGAACAATGCTCCGTCCTCTCTAGGACGCGTGGTCGACCGCTAAGGCATGCGAATCATGAGTGTACCGCCCCCCCCTCTCCCCGCCTTCGACGCTGCCGCCCGTGCCCCCGCCCCCCTGCCCCCGCAGGTCAGCAAGTGTCACCTCCGTATCGCGAACTCCGAGCACGCCGGCGTCCGCCTGAGCGACCCCGGCAGCAAGCACGGGGCGGTGATCACCAAGCCAGCGCCGCCCTCTACCACCTACGGCAACTCCGCAACAGCGGCGGCACAAGCACTGAGACAAGAAGGAGGAGGGGGAGGAGTAGGAGGAGGAGGAGGGGGAGAGAAAGGAGCACCGGACCCTCGCCCGGCGGGGCTCGGGGGTCCACCCCCCCCCCTGCCAAAGAAGAAGTTCTTCCCGATCCCTGTCCCTCGGGAGCCGGAGTGGGTCGCGGGGGAGCACGGGGACCGCATCTCGCTGGGCAAGACGGTCCTGGTTCTGCAGCGGGAAGGAGGGCCTGAGCCGTCCGCGTCGCGGCGGAGGCGAGTCGCGGGGCCGGGGGCGGGGGGGGCGGACGGGAGCAGCATGGAAGGTAGCGGCGCCGGTGCTGCTGGGACCCGCGGCAAGCCAGCCCCGGCCGTGATCTCCAAGGGCTTCACCGCCAACCCTAACCTGGTGCGTGTAAACGCCGCGAAGGAAGGAGGCGGTGCAACCTTTGATGTACGGCTTGTGGTGTTGTTTAGTGATGATGAAGTCTTGGGGGTGATGTAAGTGGGTGTAGTTGCAGGGGAGGCTTCGGTGCAGTGGGGAGGAAGGCTGCCGTGGGTTTGCTCACCGGCCTGACTCCCGACCGAGAGGGTACAACAAACGATCTATTCCGGTGTCGTCCCTCGGAGATGATGTAGAAGCTGACCTCGAAGGTGAATTGCAGCAATCAATCGAGTTTTTCTTACCCGGCGCTTGCGTTGGAGTTCTCTCTCTCTCTCTCTCTCTCTCTCTCTCTCTCTCTCTCTCTCTCTTTCCGCCTAGCCTCTGATGAAGGCCCTGTTGCCGTTGCACATCGGCTTTCACGTGACGGTTACGTAGCGGGAACGGTACGTTATTCAGGCCGCCGTCTGCGAAACGATGGCGTTCGTTACCTCCCCCCCCCCCCCCCCCCCCCCCCCCCCCCCCCCCCCCCCCCCCCCCCCCCCCCCCCCCCCCCCCCCCCCCCCCCCC